CCACTCGCCCACAGGCTAGTAACAACTTCAACACTTCCTAAACTAATCAGTCAATTTATTGACCAAGATCAATTGTTACCATGTTACAAACCATCTAAAAATCAAACTGTAAGATGGAGAACTGAGGCTGTGTTTTTGCATCGCATAAATAATCGACTCCCCAGAAACCATTGACGCTGTCATTAAAGCACTGATGCTCAGTTTCATTTTAATTTCACATCGTCAGGGTCGCCCCCTGTTTATCTGAAAGGCTTCTTTCTCCGTCCTAAGGGAATGATCATCACATGTTATGCTGATGAAGAGGAAATAATAGGACACAGATTGAATGTGTTATATCATTTCCACAGCAGAAAATTAGACAATTATCGAAATGAATGAACATTAGCTGGTTTACACTAACATATGCTAGGGCAGGCGGCTTGCAGTGGGTCATGCCTGGGCATAGCCAGTAATTAAAACCTGTGCCCATAGTTCATGGAATAAACACTCCTCATGAACTTACATTTTAAAAAAAAATCAAATGGATTACTCAGCGGAAATACGTAAATTCTTTAATGCCATTAATAAGATAATGGAGTTAAATATTCATGTTAGGGATTCTAACTCTGACGCTGAAATATTCTGCGTGTTCTTTAGCGATATTTTAATGGACACTTGAGGATTTTGAGTTTTTCCAGTTTGTGTAAGAGTCAATCGCAAAAATTAAATGTAAACTAAAAATCAATAAAGAATTTATTTAATTTTTTTGGTAAGTTTAAACTAGGAAAATATATTTATTCAGCTCATAACTTAAAATGATAGCGCTTAAAGGGACACTATAGTCACCAGAACCACTGCAGCTTACCTGTATTTCTAATGCTAAAGTTCTGATGCCCTTTGTAATTTAGATCCCCCTTCGGAAGTAAATATAAAAACGAAATAATAAAGATTAAAACAAATTACTCAGCTTTTCTCCAGTGCCGAGTCTCCATTGACGCTGCCGCAACCTCCTCCTTGAGTGATGTCATCCTGGAGGCGTGCCTCCAGGATGACGGTCCAATCCAATGCTTCTCGCAGAGGAGCCATGGTCGCTTTGCCGCTATGCGCGAAAGATTCTGCCATAGAGAATCATTAAATACAAATATTCTCTAAGGTAAAATGTGACAGCACTGGGCATGCACCTGTGATGTCACGGTATGAGAACTGGAAAGTAAGATTCCCAGCAATCATACCCAGAGGGCTTGAAGTCATTCTTCTAAGTCCTCAAGTTTACTACAGGTTTTTTTGGGAATAGGTGATGGGGGCAGGACTGCAAGCACTATGAACACTTCAATGAAATTAAGTTTTAGACGTGCCTACAGTGTCCCTTTAATGTAGTGGTTCTGGTGCCTATAGCTTGTCCCTGTTGGCTTTTCAATGTAAATGTTGCCTTTTTAGACTCATTGATGAGATCCAAAGAAGACCAAACCGATCATCCAAGGTTGCTGTATATCTTGAGAACTTGCTGGCATTTTGGTTCTGAACTGTCCTTATGGGTGGGATCAGTCTGATGTGCAAATGTATAGGTCCACTCTGTAATGGCACAAGTGAGCAAAAACTATTTTGAGACCTGAACAGGAATTTATCGAAGGCAAGCAATTGAGTTTCTCTGAGCTTTTGCCCAGCCTCAAAGTTCTCATTTTCTTTGTTTTTGTTGCAATACATTAACTTGGCTCTCCCCAAGTTAAAAGGGTAATCCGAATGGGGACCCCATGCTTACTGTACTTATAGGAGTATCAGCTACACCTCTCTGATGAGACCCAAATATGGCTGAAATGATTGTCTGGGATTGCTGTATCTCTCATGCAGAGAGAACGTGCATGCATTTTGGTTCAGGACTGCCCATATGAGTGGGATCCGTCTGATCTGCAGAGGTATAGGTTGACTCTGTAATGGCACAAGTGAGCAACAACTATTTTGAGACTCGAGTGGCAAGCTATTGAGTTTCTCTAAGATTTTGTTTGTTCTCAGGTGGCCACTAGAGGTGCTTTCTAGTCCAATGCTACACATTATGCAGTACTGGTGTTCAGCGTCTCCACACTCTGCATAGGGACACTGAATGCTCTCCATAGAGATTAACTGATTCATGGAAAAGCATCGCATTGGCTGGGATCTTCAAGACTGAGGCACAGCCAGGCATGGAGGTGGAGCAAGGCATTTAGGTGGAGCCAGGCAGGGCGCAGCATGGGAGAAAATTACCTTTTTTACTGAGATCTAAGGGGGGCTATGGACCTAAATAAATAGTTTAACACTGCAGTGTCAGGGATGCATATTTGTATTCCTGGAAGTAAAGTGTTCCTTTAAATCTTTAAACATAAGTTGTTCTTATTTAAAAGATTGCATTTGGAAATATTTAAATATACCATGTATTTATTATATGATCTGCCCATCTATTCAATGACAGATCATTTTTTAGAATGGTAACATCTTCTGTGCGATTAAGCCCCATAATGAAAGGGTTATAATGCACGTTCTGTCCAAGATTAGTGAGAGGTTTACTCCCAGCTGGCATCTGTTCTCATCTTAATGATGGCAGTTGAGTATATGTATGTATGTTCTAGTACTGCCCTTACAGTAGAACTGCCCCTTGTCCCCTGCACTGCCTTAACACACTACACTATATTGCACCACACTAAGCATTATTTAGTAGATATACCCCAATAAATATGCAAGCTTTTAATTATGCATGTCTTTCATTGGGCTATTATCTAAAAAAAAAAAAAAAGTTCTCTTGTCTGCTGCGTTTGCAAGCCGTCCTGTTCTAACCCCGCCCAGACTTTCTTTATCTGTCCAATCACAGACTTCCCAATGCAGCTCAATGAGAAGTCTTTGCAAATGCCTCTTGAGTTTAGCTCCACTGAGCTAGCCAAACCAGGAAGTAACTGGACCAGTTGTTTGATTAAAAGCCAGGGGGTGTAGCCAGGTTTATTTATAAACATACATATTTCTATTTAAATTATCTCTTTTGTTAAAATAAAAAAAGACACACACTTCATACATAAAGCACTTCAGCAAGTTAAAATGCTTTAGGTTTTTGGAATGTTCTTTAAACATAAACCCTGGACTAACTTGTAACCTCACACTATCACTAAACTATCAATAACAATGTGCAAGTATCTCAATGTGCTATTTATATAATGGACTGTTAAACATGGGCATCAAATAGTAGACCACATTACATCACAGTTCATTTCAATTCAGACACAGACAAGGCATACATTGTAAAGGAAGAGGATAAATAGAAATATTGTTCAATTTCTTCTCTTCTCTGTATGCTTTCTCTATACAGACTGCCAGGTGCAAAGGACAGAGCCTATAACAATGATTAACAATTAGCTACTTGAAAAAGCCCTTGCAGGGGAAACTCGTTGGATTCTTTTGCTATTTATTTATATACGTATTTACCAATAAATCATTTTTGAGCCTACTAGTCTTTATTGTTATTTTTATTTATTAAATCCCTTTTTATCATTGTTCGTGGCACTACTTGAAGCACACCTCCATACTTCCTTCAGATCCTCTGTGGGGATTGTTCCACCCACGTTTAATTACAAATACTGAGCAAATCCATTGCTCTAGAAATTGTGAGTACATTTTACATTTTCTTCACATATAATATAACGCAGAGAACACTATATCCCTATATCTCATATATATCTGAACACATACTGGGGAACAAGTGTATCAACTATATCACTGGATGGGATTATACCACCAAAATTTGAGCTTTTATACAAGCTCTACACTTTTTTATTTTTTTGGCATGTTTATGTACCCTGTAGTTATAATATACTATTGGTTTTTACTCTCTTATTTCATTATCTACCAGGACATACAAGACTGACTTTGCCTACACCTATATCCAATAGTGGAGATAATACCATCACATGCAGATATTGCTAGAGCTTGTAGGAAAGCTCAGAAATATGTGAGTGGGCACATGAGCAGTTTGTTATCTGCACTATCGTTATTCCTCTTTCCACATATACACATATTTACTTTTTCCCCTCTCCCCTTTCCCCCCCCAGTATTTAGTTTTATTAGCATGTTTTAAATTGGTTCAACTTGTTGTTTGTACTATTTGTTTACTACCTGTTGGGGCTTCGAGTGGTCCCCATTTTCTGTGTGTTTCCAATTTTCAGCATTTGCTGCCTTAGTTTTGCCTGCACTAGAACGTCCAGTGCTTTACCATTCTCTTGCTATAATGCATCTTTTGCATTATTTAAAGCAATGGTGGGCCACAAAAATTATATTTTTTAATCTTTTTTTATTTTTTTTATTTTGCTTTTATATTAAAAATGTAAAAATGGGCCATTTTTTTTCAAATTGTTTTACGTTTATGCCATCATAGCTCACAACATGATGCTCAGTTTATCTCATGTTGAACATATTTTAATACCTAATATTGTCTTAATACAATAAATACTATCTCTATATATTTATTGCAAATGTGGGTGCTGATAGTAATTTGAAAGAAAGCAATCCTCAAATTTGGCCTTGCCTGGTGAATTTTATAAATCATGATAAATGTTTCAGACATAGAAAGGGTTAATTGTTATGTCTAATGTACAATGAGGTTATGCATAAAGTGTAATTCTGGGGAAAAGTTCTACAAATTGAGCAGTCACCATGGAAACTAATGGAATGTCCATTTTGACTCCTCCACTTTTAGAACTTTGCAGAATTCTTCTTTATGCTTCGCAGGCTCAGTTTTGCAAGCAGTGCCACCAAGAAACAGATGTTTGCAAACCAAATCTCCCATGACACTCATGTAGCCTCAAGGAGAACTGAGCATTATGGGAAATGTGGTTACAACCATCTGGAGCACCAACAAATAGCCATCCTCATTCACAGACTAATAATGCTTAATAGCAAAACAGATCAATTTAAAATGCAGGACAGATTTGCAATAACAAGGATAGACAGTCAGACATATGGAAAGAAAGACAGACCGACAAACATCACATTACACCCAGTGACAAGTCATGAATAATGCCTGAAGACCATTAATGGGTCGGATGATGAATGCAAGGAGTTACAATGTGCCCTGATTTCCTTTAATTGCTTGTCACTCATTGTTTGCATGTTAAATAAACAATGGAGCTACAAACTCTTACGTCGACATTTATTGTGAATGAAAGTATAAATAGGGATCACACCAAGAAGAGGATTCACTCAGACACCGGCTAGCTTTGCAATTCACACCTCCTCCTCCTAGCCACAGACAGGATGAAGCCTGAAGCCTCGGTGCCTGTCTGCTTTCTGTGCCTCCTTGCCTTGTCATCAGCATGCTACATCCAGAACTGCCCGAGGGGAGGCAAGCGGTCCTACCCTGACACAGAGGTCCGACAGGTGAGTGAACAGGAATGAGAGGCTTATAAGACTTGTAGTCAAATGGATACAGACTTTAACATTTTATTATTATTATTATTATTATCATCATTGGCATTTTTAGGTACATATAAAATAAACAGTATGGATTTGTACATGGAGTTTGCTAGTGTATAATACGGCGGGGGGAAAACAAACTTTTTCTTCTACAAGTATCTAGCTGATTTCTATAGTTTAGTTACAGTAACACATAACAACAGAGCAGATGCAAAGATCACTTCGAAAGGCAATTGTGAGGCATTTCAAAATGAAAAACTGCCAAAGCTCTCCGATAGCAAGGATTTATATCAGATAATAACTTTTTATCTTATTTTAGTAAAAACACCATTCTAGAGGAATATGTTTTGATTTAAATTCCTACAGGTGGTTAGATAAAATGAACGTTTAACATTCAGCACCCTGGACAGCTCCCTGCTCATTTTTTCTACTAGCATGTTGCATTGGACAGCCCAACACTAACTCATTCTTCCTCGCAGGCTGGATGGCTGCAGGCCTCCAGTATATGTTAGACTACAGTAAATAGAATTCTTTATTTATAAAATATTTTACTAGGAAGGATACATTGAGATTTCTCTCGTTTTTAAGTATGTCCTGAGTCCACAAACATTCCACTGTTACAATAGAGTACAATATAATGTTAAAAATACAATATAATATTAATACCCAACATATATATAAACGTAACACAGAACAGGTAAGAAATAAAGTCAGCCATGGTTACAGGTGCATTCTATATTGAGATATGTTGCCATAGATGTCTTAAAGTTAGTCATGAGGGCACATATTTTACAGTCCAGTGCAGTGAACTGCTACTCCCAGCAGGCTGGATGATCCTAGAATCAGGGAGTAGATGTGCCTGCAGCTAAGCTGAAATGTGTGCAGGTTTGTAAAGAGAGGCCCTAAAAGCTGATTCAACTGCAATTCAACTGCATGGTCAGGCAATCATTTTAAATTCAGTTGTAGAATTAAAAGTTAAAACCATCTTATTGTTAGACCATCATAAAGAGAGTTATATGAGTCTTGACATAGTGCCCTGATTGGTTAGCCTGATTTAGAAAACCTTATGTTTGTAACTCTACTGGTGTAGTCAGGATTGCTTAAATTCTACTTCAACACTTTGTGTCAGTATTTTAGAAATGGGGTGTTTCAGATATACACATTTATTTAAACCTAGAATAATTACAATCTCTATATTTAATTATTGTTTTGGGGGGGGGGGGTAGGGGGCTGTAGTGATGGCTAGTCATGTGATAATGTGTAAAGCTAACTGTGCTCATTATATTGTGTAAAAATGTGTGGTTAGTTATTTTTTATTTTTATTTTTTTGAAAGATTTTTTTTTTCTTCAAATTTCCATTTTTGGGCAATATATTTAAAAGAACACTCAACTTACCAGAACTGCTATATCACATATCACTACTATAAACGATGCCACTTGTTCTTCAAAAAAATATTCTAAATATTTCATTGTATAATTATACATTTTCTGGAATTATTTACAATAGGCTTATTTAAAAACAAGTACTTTACATACAAAATAATGTTGATAGACACAAGAGATAGAAACATAGAATGTGACGGCAGATAAGAACCATTCGGCCCATCTAGTCTGCCCAATTTTCTAAATACTTTCATTAGTCCCTGGCCTTATCTTATAGTTAGGATAGCCTTATGCCTATCCCACGCATGCTTAAACTCCTTTACTGTGTTAACCTCTACCACTTCAGCTGGAAGGCTATTCCATGCATCCACTACCCTCTCAGTAAAGTAATACTTCCTGATATTATTTTTAAACCTTTGTCCCTCTAATTTAAGACTATGTCCTCTTGTTGTGGTAGTTTTTCTTCTTTTAAATATAGTCTCCTCCTTTACTGTGTTGATTCCCTTTATATATTTAAATGTTTCTATTATATCCCCCCTGTCTCGTCTTCCCTCCAAGCTACATATGTTAAGATCCTTTAACCTTTCCTGGTAAGTTTTATCCCACAATCCATGAACCAGTTTAGTAGCCCTTCTCTGAACCCTCTCTAAGGTATCAATATCCTTCTGAAGATACGGTCTCCAGGACTGCGTACAATACTCCAAGTGAGGTCATGAGATAAAGAAGGCATACAAGCTCACAATCTATGAGGATAAGTAGTAATGTGAATTCTTATTGCTCCTCTAATCCTTAGAAAATAAAGCTATGTACTATATAAAAAATTAATTAAAAATTATGTTTTCATTATGAAAACTGCTTAGGTACTCCTCGAGGAAACGACAGACAATTCTCAAAGAAAACCTTCTAGACTAGTTGGAAAATTAAACTATTTTGGCTTAAACTCCTCAGGCTTCTGCCAGTGATCCAAACAGTTACACAGGCAAACTGCTGTCTATAGAATATTCCAAAATACAGCAGCTCACAATGGATGGAGGAAAATTAACAATATAAAAACCAGAATACTTTTAAAGCTAAATAACAGCTTTGAAAAATAGCAAATTTAACCTAAATGTCTTCGGAAGGTGTAAATTATGCTGTATGGTTATTTGCCAGCCATCGGTTTTCATTATCTTGCTATGTATAAACTTAATTTTCTTAAACTAGAGCAGAGTTAGCCCTTACACTTATCTGTGTCTTATTCTGTTCTCTGAACTCGTAGACAGAGATCCAGATTACAGCGGTCTGGTTAAACGATCAGCTATAATCGGTACTATAGACCTATTGTGTCTGTCCGATCCATCTTACTAGTAAGTGTCCTTGGACAGGAAACTAACAGATATAAATCTGCCTACCTCAAATCCTCATAGATTGTAAGCTCTTCTGATCAGGGCCTGCTTCACCTCGAAATATCTTCTTTCTATAATTGCAAAGTTCTGAGCAACATGTTGGCACTATATAAATAATCATTCACCTTTATGGCCACCTTGCATACATCGTATGTGTTAACTAATTTATCTGCAGGCCTTTTGGATTGGCAATTAAAAATAGCAAGCAATTCTGGGGAAAACTTATAAATGTGGTTAGCAGGCTAGCAGATAGCAGGTTAAACATTTCCTATTTTGTACCCCCTTTTAAGAGTTAATTCTTATTTTGCTATTGATTAGTGAATCGGTTTAAGAGGAATTGATATAAAAATATGTTCCACTGTTCCATTTTGAGCACTTAAAAACTAAAGTGGTAGCTGCGCCAAAAGCAAAATATATTTCACAAACATTTGGTATTCTGAGGTTTGTTACCCCAGCATTAGAGGGAACATACCAGGTTAGTGTAGCTGTTAGTTTTTACAGATGACAATGTGTGTCAGATAGCTATAGCATTGCTTGTTTTCCTTGCAGTGCATACCATGTGGTCCTGGGAATCGAGGAAATTGCTTTGGCCCAAACATTTGTTGTGGTGAAGATCTGGGATGTTATGTTGGGACACCTGAGACCCTGCGATGTGTGGAAGAAAACTACTTGCCTTCTCCTTGTGAAGCCGGAGGAAAGCCCTGCAGTACCGGTGGAAGATGTGCCGCCCCAGGAATATGCTGTACTGATGGTAATGGTGGAAAATCCTTCATCTCATAGTATAAACATCCTGTAACATCTGTAACAAACAAGACTAAACTACAGGTGCCTGGAGTATTAAGTAGAAAGAGCAAATCGGGAGTAACATTAAAAAAATGGCAATCCCATTACTATTGTATGAGACACTACCTATCGTGGTCCGTACAAATAAAAATTGGGTTATTGCCATTGCTTAGAACCTTAAGGATTTCATTCATAACTCCTTAAGGATTGCAATATGGTCTCAATAGACCCGCTACTTATTTTTACCTTTGCCGCAATAAACCATCCATTAGATGATTGAGAAGTCACATGTAATCTGTGGGTGCCAATGAAAATTTATGAAGGCTGTTCTATTACAGTCTCTATAAAGGCTTTGTCCAATGGGACAATCGGTTTGCAGTTCTTTAGACAGGACAATAATGCTAAGCAGACTCCTCATTATTTCCATTAGTGTAATTAGTGAGGCTTAGAGGGATTGATATTATTGCGCTACCTCATTTAGCAGGCACTTCGCACTGTCCAGATTTACTATGCGGGGTCGATAACCCTTTGACAAAGTAAATAGTTTCTGTCAGCTGTTACCAGCTTTAGAAATGTCCTCAGGTAAAACAATGCAAACACTTCTAGCATATCACGTTCGGCTTAAAGGAACAGCGGGTAAAGGCGGCCCTGCCCAAACATACTTACAATCTCAAAAAATGCTTTTTAGATTGTAAGTTAATTACTTAAAGAGACAAGTGTTTTCCTTCTAATTCATAAACACATATGAATTAGGAGGAAACTCTCAGGTCTCGTAATACATCTCACATACCAGATTTCTGCAAAAAATTAACTCCAGGACATGTTTCTTTGTGTTAAAATGTTCCTCTTCTGTAAATCCCAGACACCAGTCACGTATTTTTTGTAACCCAGTGGATCCACTCACCAAAGAAGAGTGAGCACTCAGATTTCTGTGCACTGGCTAGGGCTGTTACTATATTGTTTCTGTTGTAAGTGTGTCATAATTTCAGAAGGCATTAATACCTTAGGTATTACAATAAATCAGGAGGGATAATAGTTGGTAAGAAATTGACATAGACTTAAGTTGGAGCATATAAAGTAAGGATGGTAACTTTTGTGATAAAAAGCAGGGCTGACCTGTATTGGGTGTGAGTTCTATTTCAATATAAATTCAGGTGATTGGTTCTGCTTTCTGCAGCCAACATATCCTTGGGGCCTACTACATCTTGAATCCCACTCCAACCTAAAGTGCACTCCACTGCCCAAGTACAAGAAAATAAATAAAAATAACTGTCTGGTAGCTATATCCCATATGCAAACATGCATGCATTTAATTATACATTTTCCACGGGAGTACATCTAAAAACATAAACAGCTTGTAAAAGCCACAGATCTTTATCTGCTGCCTTTGCAAACACTCCCCATCTAACCCCAATCCAGACTTGATGTGGTTCCAGTAGATGCAGTTTCCCATTTGTGGCTGTATTCCTTAGCACCATGTGATGACATGGATGGCATGATAAATCAATAAGCATGCAGCTCAGTTAGGGCTCCCTTATAGTAATCATCGTGAATGGGAAGAGTAGCAGGATATGGTCAGAGAAAGCTAAAATGGGATACCTCCCATAACAGAAACCAATGGTGATATTCGCTGAATTGTGAATTGTTGGGAAGACAAAGTTAAATGAAAGTAAATTTACAATTTTAGACCAAAAAAACTAATTGAAAACACAGTTTACATGTAGAATGTTTCGAATTTGGCTATTTAGCCCAAAATTCGGTTTAAATTCCATTCTTCAAAAGAAGATACCATTGAAGAAAATTACCAGCTACTTAATTCATCTGAATTTGTGCTTAGGAACTGTAAATGCCCCCCCTCCTCCCCTTCCTTCTCTCACACTTTACAGCAACTTTTGATTTTCATAATTCATGGCTGCATCCCAGGAGCGAAGAAAGAGCAAAAAAAAAAAAATAAGTGCTTTGGGCACAATGAGCAAACCACCACAACTCTTGTATTTTACAGATGTTGGGGTCATTTTAGAAAGCTTGATTCCTGCCCATTAATTCTGCCCAAACACTCATAGGCAGGGTATTTGACTGTATTTAATTAACTATTTTTTCACACCTAATATATGTGACTAAATTGTATTTTTGCTTCTGAGCAAGAGTAGGGATACAATACAGTACATAAATATTCTATCCCCCCGCGCCCCCCAATATTGCCATCAATAATAAACAAATAAGTAAAAAATAATACATTTATGCAAATTGACTACTTTTCATTTTATTAGGAACCTCAGAACGTCCATCTAATAAAAAAAAATGCTTTAATTCTGTATTTATATACTAGCTTACTAGTTAGTATCGACATGTTTTAACCCCTTAAGGACACATGACATGTGTGACATGTCATGATTCCCTTTTATTCCAAAGGTTTGGTCCTTAAGGGGTTAAATACACGCTATACTATTTTTAAAAATGGGAAGTTTCGTAGAGAAAGGATTAATTATTAATTAATTTTTTAGTTATGTACTTGTGTGTCCTTTAGTTAGTCATTTCTGTATTTTCCGAAATATTTCTTATCATACGTTGCATACAATTTTAATATTATAATATAGCTTGGTATTTTTTCTTTACACAGTACCCATTTTATTAAGATTTCTTTGGTATAATGAAGTAAAACGTTTTTGCTTAATTAATGTTTGTTTCATTTCTATGTATTTTTTTTTTTTTACGTAGAATGTTTAGTGATAATTATATTTTATAAATGATAAACCATAGTACCCCTTATGTACGGAAACCACAATTCCTATCATGCTTATCCAGCTCAAAAACTTGCAGGGCACTGTGGGAAATTTGGTTCACAAACCTATCATGATTGCTTTAGTGTAATATTTTTGAGCCACTGATGTGTGATTATAATTTAATCTTTCCATGTATATTGTTGAGGATTAGATCTAAAATTAAGTATTCACAATACCATATTTGCTTGCTTTTTTTTTTACAACAGAATAGTTTAGATTGTTCACTTTTGTTACAATGCAAACTGACCTCGGTGTCCATGCGAAATTGTTTTTTCTTTCTTTTTACATTCTTCGTAGACAACTGCAGCATAGACTCTGGCTGTTTAGAGGAGGACAGCGAAGGGCGAAGGGTCCCCCCGGAGAAAAACATGACCCAGATGGATGGTTCCGCCAGCGATTTCCTCCTGAGGCTCATGCACATGGCCAACAGACAGCAACAAGGAAAACACCAGTTCTATTGAGCTCGAAAATCAATCTATTGTAACAAATATCTTTCTTTGTATCATGTGATTAAATCAAATTCTCTATTTAAGACTGTAATGACATAAAATAACTAATGGTTTATTGTACATAGAACAAATAAAGTTTTATTGCACTGTTAATATGAAATGACTACATCGTTTATTTACAGTTGTAATGGGGGTGCCGGTAATCGTCAACATAAGAAAAAAAATTAATTAAAATTAATGTCCTCAATATTTTATTCACAATATAAATTGCAGATGAAGGGAAGTACACTTCTAATTTGATCCACACATATGCTATGGAAGCAGTAATCTGGAATTTCTCCCTGCTGTTGTAGTATAGCAATACAACACCAATAACTATCAGGGTTGTTCGCCAAAGTGAATGTCACATTTAAGACAGCGGTATTTGGACTGAAAGCCTAGTTGGCTTAGATACTTTTTCCAGTTGTTCGGCTATTATGACTTTCAATCTGAAGTTTAAATTCACTTGAATGCTCATTTTAGTAAATAAAGGGGGTTATGTAACTACAACACATGCATTGGGAGATATGGAAGATGATCTCTTTTATTTTCTCTTTATTGAGCAGTTCCTGACTTGGGCACAGATCTTTCAATAGACATGCAAGGTTTCAATATGGAGTGACTCGAAAAAGTTTGGCTTGTGGCCATTTGATTGGTTTTACATCCGACTGTCATTTTAGGGTAACCTGCAAATTATTACATTTATAAAATGAATAGAACTAGATAGTTTGTGGTAATTTGTCCTCATTTCAAAGAATGAGAAAAAATATGTGATTTGTTTGATATATAAGCATACACGATACACAAAACTATATATATGTATCTTCCATTAAAACTCTTCTTGGTAGTAAGATAACACATGCTACTGTATACATATCTGTACTAAAATAAAATGTATACATTGCATGTTTTTATTGTTGTCATGGAAACAGATGCTACTTCTGAAATAAAATACATTATCATTTTGTTTTCAGAAGTAGCATTTGTTTCCTTGACAACAATAACATCATGTAATCGGCATCATAAATGTTTTGTTTGGTGTGTGTAGCATAATCTGTAACAGTTTAATGTAATGTACGAGTATTATTTTACAGGAAAGAGTAGGAGATAACTTGAATGATCATACAGAGTAGGAGGTAATGGCAAAAATATATTGCATGATCCCAGAATTACCTAAAGTGAGAATTTAAAATCAATTTGAATTTTAAATTTAAATGGACACTATAGTCACCAAAACATATTTAGCTAAATGAAGCAGTTTTGGAGTATAGATCATGCCCCTGCAGTCTCACTGCTCAATTCTCTGCCATTTAGGAGTTAAATTTTTGAATTCACACTTTAGTGAATAAGCCTGCGAGATTCAAAATACCTTTTTTTTACTTCAGAGTTTTATAAACCAGTGAAAGTTTGCTTTGTGATCGCTCCTTCCTAGAAGGATTTATCTTTTATAATCATTCGTGATAACAGGGCGACCTTGCTTCTTGCTTCTTGCATGCTATGTAGCTTGGCTTGTCTATTTCATGTGATGGCTTAGATTTATTTATCACTTTGTTAAATCTCTCAGGATTTTTTCAGCTGTTGCTTTTGAATACACTTTATTTTTTCTGCAAAGCAATTGATTTATCAGTCTGTCCACCACCTTTTTCTGACAAAATTTTTATTCAGATCTAAATTCAGTCTTCTGATATGGAAATTTCAGCAGAAACTGGTCAAATTTGCTTCGCAGACACTTGTTACATTTGAGATCACTTTTAGAAAGCTTTAAGAAATACGATCAAAATGGACTTTAATTTTCGCTTTTCAGAACAATTTATTTAATATCCCCTATAATAGATATTACCTGGTTAGGGATTTGGGGATATGCAACGAACCTGTCTGAAACCAAGGAAAACCAAGACCGGCTTGGATTTAGGACCGGCTTGGATTTAGGACCGGCTTGGATTTCTTACTTATTTCCAATAGTCCTGGAAGAGTTTCAGATTCCATGCAAGCAGGAGAAATTTGCTTTTTAAAGGGGAAAATTGACACACGTTTTAATTTTTTTCTTATTCCTTATGCATTTAATTTTTTCTGCATATTTTACATTTATTAATTTAATTAATTCTCAATATTGCACTATACGTGCATTCACAGGGTAAGGTGTACTCTATCGATCTGAAACATTCATATATGACTGGAGTATTATGGGATTTGTACTCAAACAACAGCTATTGTTGTATATGGGGCAATATTGCCCAGTCCACTCTGAGCTAAGAGCTTTTTCCTAATTAAACTTGCCAAGCAATTGTAGAACATGAAAACACAAGAGAAAATACATCCCTGGAGTATAATTCCCATTATTGCAATCCAGTATTTCTTGAAAAAGAGAAGTCCAATATTTGCAAAGGGTATTCACAAGTTTTGGATAAACAAAAACAGTGTGTTATAAATAAAAAGACAGCAGGAACAATAATTTAGATTTATCGTAGAAGCAACCAAACAAAAACGTCAAAAAGTTACAAAAAATGAAAAAAAATGTTTTCCTCTTTAGCCTAAATTATTTTGATAAACAGAACTCACAATGTTTTATTCAGAGCCAATAAATCTATTAATGAGCTCTAGTTGTGAATACATTAATTACGTAGTATTATTGATACCGAAAGAAGGCTTTGGCTAAATGGTGTAAAAGGGAAGCATTGCAAGATGTCGTTAGTAAGAGAGACAAAGGGCAGACCTTCTAATTAAAAGAGAATCAATAATTAATACATAGATTTCTCCCAAATTAAGAAGTCATTGAACTCAGCACTTTCCATTCTCTTTTCTGTTTTCTGTTTCGGGGCAGTGTCTTGGAAAAAGCTCACTTACATTGTTGCTAAAGTTCCTTTAAGAGCATTGCTCAGTGTGAGTACACAGGATGCTTGAATTCTGAAATCTTAATATTATCATTTCATTTATAGCACCATGCTGAGTGCACATCGCAATGGGGCTTACATTAATTACTTTAAATTCTCTGACATTGCTGGGACAGCCTTGCAAATAATGTATTTTTTTTTTCTTTTGGTTAGCTATTGACATTTAGTCAGTTTATGTTAAATTAGAAGCACATGGATTTCACAAACTGCTGGGCAGTGCTTATATGCCTTGCAACACTGAATGCAAAATGCATGTGCCCCATAAAACAATGATAGCCTAGCAATCCAGCACAATATATTTATCCCAATGCACAAAGCAACATCGTTTTCTTAACGGTCTGTGTCCAGGAATACGCTAAAGCCATTTTATTTAAAACAAAAATCTAAATAAATGATGTATTGTTACACAATGCACTGACATGATCTCAATCCACAGCATCATACGGTGTCAGGAAGGAAGTGCACACAGCAGGTAAGTACCAGTTTAGTGTTTTGCTACATCATAACTTTCAATAAGGGTAAGTCTTTTTCTTTGATTTAATAAAAAAATATTAAACAAACTGATGTGAATAAAAAGCAAAAGATCCAGTACCGTTCATCTAGAGATGGTTTCACGTATGGAAACTGATTCTTCCCAGAAGCTGCAAAAAAGGTTTGAAAATGCAATCTATTTCAGATGATTAGCAATTTTTCACAGTGAGCAAGACATGATAGAATGTTTACTAAATTAAAAATGTATTGCAAAAAACCCCCCACTATTTGTGATATAATATTTAAAATGAATGAATTATATAAAAGAGATTAAAGCAGCTATCACAAGTTAACCTAGGATGCAGTAATGAGTGTTTAATAATACAGTGTATTGTTATACTTGGTTTTATTCGTAGTAACCTTAATTCTGATGACACATAAGGACCAAATAGCTCAATCATGACTGAAACGTTTCATTTGGAAATAAAAAAATCCCTATAACAAGTTTTAGAAATTTAATTGAGCCTCTAACAAATGGTTAATACACTGACGAGATTCTAGGCTATCCCAGTAATTTAAAATTCATTAGCAATGGTTCTCGTAAACATTTAAATCAGACAGTTTTCCAGGTATCACCTATAAGTCTTCATTTAAACTAACTCAGACACATTACATCTTCATGTACATCTTAGAGAACTGTCAACAGGTATAACTCTAATTCGAATATTTACTTGTAACCCTTAATGTAAAAACTAATTAACTGGGTTATGTTTATTGTCCTGTTTCAAAGCACTTTCATGACCTTGTTTGCTAAATAATTAATATAATTGCCTCTCTTTCGTATTGGAAACTGTATAATTATTCATGATAATGAATCATCTCATTAATACATAATTTCAAGGCTTCAACAAGAATGTGTTAATTTCCAAATTTATGTTTGGATGGAAGACCTGTCATCATGTTATCATCAACATGGACCTGTCATTCTCTTCACTCCTTCATGCCCTAGTCCAATGTACATAATACACCTATATTGCAAGAGTTTGCACATGAAATTTGTTCATAGATGGCCCTGTATCTATGAATGAGGCAACAACAGAATAAATTAGTTTTAACACAAATTTTTGGAATTGTATTCTGGTTCATGTTCTCATTTCTTGTGGTGGAACTTGATTGATTCAGAAATCTTTAGAATGGGTGGGTAATAGGGAGATCGGTATCTTCAGGACATTCTATTTTTTAGGTTTTCCTTGGGAACTTTGGATCACCACTTCAGCTTGACAAACTTCAGTTAATTTATTAAAAAAGACACTCTAAAATATTTACAAAAAAAACTAATAATCTAGACATGTTGGAGGAGGTAATAAAAGCATATTCAATTTATACCCAAAAAGTCTATGGTTTCCCTTTGTGTCAAGTTGGCTTCTAAATGTCTTCCAAACAGACTGGGTTCAAGAAATCAAGGTACAGGGTGAGTACTCTAGCTGATAACTGCAGCAATTTTGTCCCTCACTCAAGCTAGCTTTCATAGTAAATTTGTGGTTTGAAAGTTTTATTTTGAAAGTAAACTGGTTAAGTGCAATTATGGACAATTACCTCAACGAAACCATTCCTAATGTGAGACTAACTCTAAAAAAAACACTTGTTGGTCATTGTGATCCTCTACTCACCTGTTGAAGATGGTCTTAGCTGGTCAAGGGAAGAAAGGGGTGTCTCACAGTCACAGCGAACCTGATGTCTCAAGAGAGAAGAGAGCTCA